TTTTTTTCCACTCGATAAAAGTTAACGTGAGGGATTCTGGTGGTCAGGGACAAATGCAATCGCATAGCAGGATGCTATACACAGGGCAAACTTCAGTTAGGAGAACAACTGAGATCATTCATCCATAATACGAGGTTAGTTATTAATATACTGCAACAACATGGGAATAGAGCAGCTGCGAGAAAATTCAACATTAATGTATCAATGTTACGGAAGTGGAGGAAGCGCAGTTTTTGGCTTTCCCCATATTTTAAAAGTGCTTCAACTCTTTGCTATGACTGTCAGCATAATTTACAGATGATAACGGTTGTAGCCACTGTGACGCTTTCGACCAAAACAGGCGCAGCTTGATGACATCATCAACATGCGCTATCGCGATAGAGCGCTAAAATCTCTATCGTTGGCCAAATTTTTATCGTTTCTATCGTATATCGGTCATATCGCCCACCCCTAGTTAATAGATCTCTCTGCGTTGAATCATACCTGTTATTAATCTCTGTCTCTCTTCCACAGCATGTATTTATCCTGTTTTCCTTCTCTCACCCCAACCGGTAGCAGCAGAGGGCCGCCCCTCCCTGAGTCCAGAGTAACCGCACATAGCAGCTATAGCATCACACCTAGCATCGGCAGTAACATCTGTAGCTTAGAACATTCAACACTTATACCACACTGTAAGGAACAACAAGATAAGTAAAACAACACACTACATTCTCACAGTTCCCGACTGTAGTGGTGTTTTGTTTAGTTTTTTTCAAATGTTTCTGAGCTTAATCGGCGGGAAAAATACATTGTCTAAACTTAACAGGTAGCTAACGAAAGCGAGTGACTCACCGGGACAAATAACTCCAACACAAATAACTCGACAGACGTTATTCCCTTTGTGGTCAGACTTCGGGGCCTAATAAAAGAGTAGCTTATTAGCATTGATATGTAAAAAAACAATTTGGTCTCATTATCTAGTTTGCAGCACTACTTTGTTGAAAAAACACTTCACCGCCATTATTGCGAAGCTCTCATAGGAAGAGACAGCCAATGCTTCCTGCGCACGAGACGCAAGGTCGTAACGCAGCAAGACTGCATCAAAGCGCCCCCTTGTGACAATAATAGGCAATAGTTTTAGATGACAAGAGGGGAATCTGCAGCCCTGTATTTTGCATGGGTTAGACCAGGGGTCGGCAATCCTGGGCACTCCTGCCACACAGCTGGCACGCGAAGGGTTAACTGATGGCACGACACCCAGTGAATTCATCTGAGAAGGTGTATTAAAAATTAATGGCCGTGCCAGCGGAGCACATCGCAAATTAACTCGTATAGACACATTAGTTGTGCTGCTTCTTAATGTCGGTATCTAAGCTAACAACCCCATGTACCAGATTCAACTTGTAATTGGTTAAAAATAACGTAGCCTACCAGTGAGAGGGACGTTGCTAGCTGGTAGTTTTTTCAAGCGATGTTGAAATTTCCACATTCCGACACTTCAGGAGCTCTCCGCTCAGCGCAGCATACACGGATACATCCGTAGACTCGAGACAGAATTCACAATGCGTTTTCGGGACTTTTAGGTGTATGGACCAATGTTTTCTTTTATGATCAAACCAGAAAGCTTTAATGAGCAAGTGGATTTGGATATGGAATCTGGCTGGACACAGCATCGAAATGCAACTGACTGAACTGAAAAGCTCGACTCTGTGGGGGTCAAAGTTTGCAGAACTACGAACACAGCTGGAATCCACAGCTGTGCGTGTTCATGGAGCTTGCATTTTCACCTGCTGGACATCACTACCTGACAAGTTTAACTGTCTTCAGAACATTGCAGAGGCCTTATTGACAGTATTTGGCTCTACATATCTGTGTGAGCAGATTTTCTCTCACACGAAGAGTGTCCTCAGGTAGCCGTCTGAATGCTGGACACTCTGAGACCTGTGTCTCTTATCATTGTTTTGAGGAGACCATAAATGGCATTTGCATTTTCTGTTGTACAGTTCATTTGCTGTTATGGAGTTCTTGTTATTAATAAAAAGTGTCTTCTTTGTTTTTTTCAAAATAGCTGATCTGTTCAAATATAATTCTATAAAGTTGGTCTATATAGTGTGTAACTGTTAATAATATAGAGCGTTATTAAATTTATTGCTAATGCAATCATATGGCACACTGACTTCTGAGGAAATTTTAGATGGCACTCATCATCAGAAAGGTTGCCGACTCCTGGCATAGGCTGTTTATAAAAGTTGGATGTAAACCAGTATAAAAGGGGCCTTAATGGTTTGATACCACACAGTAAAACACTCCTGAGTTCACAGCCTAGTTTGAAGTGTTATTTAATGCAAAATGATGTTCACTGTGTAAATTATAGACAGTGAAGCCGAGTATACTGTAGGGTGAGTATACCTCGACAGCTTGCTTCCCTGCCTGAGTTTCTTAGTAAGATGCCTCTCTCATCACATCCAGTTCCACAGCTCCAATGTTTGTGGCATCAAAACAGGGTGTCATAAACTATTTCCGAGATATTTCCATCTACATATCCACCCTTAAATGTTTATTTATTTAAAATTTGACAAAAAAATTTGGTTTCCTTCATCAGGAGATCTCGAGTACATAATGGTACATGGTGAATCACAAGTGGACTACATGGATCCGGCCATAGATCACCTTTCTGGAGCTTTTATTCTAGGCTTCCTCCCTGGACTGTCACTCAAATGCTTTCAGAGCCTGAACTAAATAACTATCTTCAACTGAAATGTATGGACTCTGTTTCACCAGTGAATAGAAAGCTTCCAGTAGCCATTTTATGTGCAATATGAAGTGGTTCTGTGGTCTGTTTGAAGGGAAAACATTTCTCAGAAAACCTTTTTGTAATCCTAGTTGTGCTGCTGAGTACTGCAGCAGCATGCCTCGAGTGTTTTGATCATATGAAACACCCAGTCTCTATTGAGATGAGATGAGATAGCCTTTATTTGTCAGTTGCAGGTCTTTTGCCCACAACCGAGATGACAGACCTTGCCGACCGTACATACAATACACAAACATCACATTGGGGAGACAGGTCAGGCTAGGTAGCGAGGAAAAAAAACATCGAAATGTGTAACACAAAAGGATAATACAGGAATGCACAGATATCAACACACCATAGCACAATAAACACAGACAGCAACATGGGAAAGAATTCCAGTGTGTACATCTGATCTGGGACCACTGCAATCTTTCGACTGCGCCTCCAACTGACCCGATGTCCACATCAGAGGGGAGGTAAGCGTTGGAGGTGGCGTTGGATCCGGGGTAGGGAGGGTGATGCGTCAGTGAGTGCTTATCAGTATCAGTATATGTATGTGTTTGCGTGTCCATAGTTCAGCTGAGACAGTGTCCTTCGCCCTGCCAGGCTAAGTAAACAGTCTTCCAGCCAACCCAGGTGGCCTTGCATGGAATGGGAAGGAACAGACTCAACACAGTCGTTATCAGGGAGTTTTTGTTCAGCTCCGGCCTTGAGCTCCGGCCTTGAGCCCACAGCTGTCGCCAAAGGGGTAGCCGGATTATGATGGTAATCTTT